GGAAGATCTGCTTGTAAAAAGGGTGGATCTTCTTCCATAAGAAGTTACCATCGATATTCCATCGAGATTTTTTTTTTTTTTGATAAACGATATTCCATCGAGATTAACAATGGATGCCGAAGAGGAAAGAGAAAAGAAAAGAGTCGACCTTTCAGATGATCCTTCCAACAAAGCGATGGTCCAGAGAGCTTTTCATCTTCTCCCAGAGGAGATTCTGCTCGAAATCCTATCAAGACTCCCGATCATCTCTCTGATGCGGTTCAAGACCACTTCTCATGCCGGCTATGATTTAATTGCCAATCCAGGACTCCCTGCGATTTTCCACAACCGGGTAAGCGACTCAAACCCATGTCTGATTCTGTTCGACTACAATTTCCATGTCCCCCGGGGATCCTATTTTGTTGATATCGAAGATTGTAGTAGAAGGGTTAGGAAAATCGATCCACTACAGCTTTCAAAAGTTTATGATCTGGTGGGTTCTTGTAACGGGCTGTTATGCATATCCTTAAGCGATGGTTCATCGGAGTCTTACAGTCTGCTAATTTACAATCCTTTTGTTGGAGACGCTGTGAGAGTCCCAGCAGCGAACCCTTTTCCAAATCAAAGGGAAGTTTTTGGATTTGGGTTTCATCCGAGGACAGGAGAATTTAAAGTGGTTAGGATTGTGTGGTTCAAGCTAGATGTGGAAGATGTGGAAGAAGTGAAAAAATTAACGGTTCAGGTGTTTACTGTAGGAACAACAGAGTGGAGAACGAAAGGAGATAGGACTCCACAGTTGGCAGGTGTAGCCGGACCACCTGACGCAGGTGTAGCCGGACCACCTGACGCTATAGTTGAAGGATCTCTCCATTGGGTGACTTTTGTTGTAGGAGGGAACGGTCCAATCTTTGGTATTATCTCCTTCGAGCTTGCAGATGAGGTGTTCGTAGAAATTCTGCACCCACCTTGTCAACGATTTGTGTCACGTCCGTACAGTCTTTCGGTGCTCAATGGGTGTCTATCGGCAGCTCGGTTAGTTGATACTTTGCATTTTGATATCTGGGTGATGAAGCAATACCGTTTTAAGGAACACTGGGTAAAACAATTCTCCTTTGATCCCTGTTCTCCTGGTAAATGGCCAGGCTACTTAAGAATATTTCCCGAATTTATATGTGCACTGAAGAATGGTGAGATTCTGTTGCGTTATGATGACAATTCTCTGGTTTCTTATGATCCTGTGGAAAAAAGATTCAAGAATCTTCAAATGAGTGGGTTACCTAAGGATTTCGTGGCACTTCCTTTTCAACCTTCTCTTTTCTCAGCAAGGGCAACCATGAATTTGCAACTTTAACTCTCTCTTGTGAATCAACCCTTTTTCTGTAAGACTCTACTACTAGTTTTTAGTTTGTGTTGAGTCTTTGATCATCAATCCATCGGTAACAGTTGTGTTATTATTTACATCATCATGGGTGACCTCTGTTGTATGGCAATGAGATCCATCTCACCATTATCTGCCTTTTTCTCGAAAAGCAGTTCTGAAGAACCGGGAGATTGTGTTGGAGTGTAACAATAAAGCTCTGGTTTCTTATGATCCTAAAACTAACAGGTTCAAGGCTCTAAACTCTAAAGATCAACCGGCTCCTGTAGCAGTTCCAAGCTTTTGCGTTCCAGCATAACCTGTTCAGTAAGGAAACCTCTGAAATAATCTTTACTACTCTTCTTTAGTATACGGATATATAATTTCCTCTGCTTTACTCAGGCTTCCATTGTTTATATATTGATTAATTAATCGTGTTTTGTAGTTACTTGAAGTTGTGACTCAGTCACACAAAGCAGAATGCTGACAGGTTTCATCCTGAAATATTGTTCCTAAGAAATTGACGATTTGATGATGTGATTTGTCAAATACAGTAGGGAGGTGATTATTGTTATTATAAAAAATATAATTATGTTTTCAATTTTTTATTAGTATTTGAAAATATGAGTTTATTGGTTGATTTTAATTTATTAATTAATTTTTTTATTTTGAAAAGAATTTTTTAAAATAATGTGAATATAGTTTAATAGTGGAATTGAATTAAATAAAAAAAAGTTAGATGTAATGTGAAAAGGAGTGTTTGAACTGATTTCAATTTAATTTGAATCTAGTTTAGAGTTTTTTTTTAAAAAAAATTGTCTAATTCATAAGTTAAAATAAGTATAAATATACAGTGTGAACCCAAAAGAGGTTTTTTTGGTTTTGCTTTTAACTTATCTTTAGATTGGTTTATTTTATCTCCTTTTTTTTTTCCGATGTTACTTTTTTTGCTGTTCAACCCATTACAATTTCATGGTAAAAAACATAAAATTTGAACATAAATTACTAAAATTAGGGTTTTATTTTTCAAAGTCAATCCACAATTTCATCAATATTGCTAAAGACTAAGTCATGTAAATTTGACAATTAGGGTTTTACGTCTTTTTCTTCTTACAGTTTAGTTGTTGTTGACAGTTGGAGAGGTGTTTTAGAGGAATTTCACTTAATTGCATTTTTCTTCTATTCTTCCTGAAAATTGTTATATAAGGCTGAAAATTGCAAGTAAAAAAATGTAAAAGATAGCGGCAGAACGATGCCAGAAAAGTCCAGAACCCAGAATTGCATTTAATACCAGGCTAGTTGGCTGGTTGAACCGGTTGGGCCACCCAAACTAGAAACTGGTGAGCAAACTGGTTCCATCACTGGTTCGGGTTTGAAAACACTGGTCCCATGGTGAAATGGATCATGTTCTAATTCCTGGGCTCCAATCCTCTTAAACACTCTGCCTCCAAATTGCTTTGTTTCCAAAATTTGCATCTTTGAGTTCCTAATTTGGGTTCTAGGAATGTTGATCTTATAATTTCATGGAAAACTTTGGGCTTTTATCCTCAAAGTTGGAAATTTTGTTTCCAAACCTTGGTCTGATGATGAATAGTTGCAGTTGGATTTTAGCTCTATTTTTGTGCATGTATTTGGATTCTAGTTCAGTACAGTAGCCAGTAGTGCAGCAACTATGTTTTACGTTTTTTTTGCATTTGGATTTTTGTTCTTTCTTTTTTTTCCATGGATTTGCATTTTAATTTAGTACAATAGTACAAGCATGCAATTATGTTTCAACTATGTTTTTGTTTTTTGCATTTGGATTTTAGTTCTTTTATTGTTCATGGATTTGGATTTTAGTTTAACGGTGCAACTTTGTTTTAGTTTTCTTCTTTGACTCTCATCTTGTTACTATTACTATTAGAATCATTATCAAATATGATTGTAGCACTAGAAATTTTTTTTTTGGGGGGGACTCTAGAGACTGGTCTTGTTCCATGATTCCAAGGACTTCAGCTCTTCATTGGTTATTGAATGAAAAGAAGACAGCAGACAGGATGGTATTGTTTGAGGCTGGACAATCAGGCCTTTCTTCATTCCTTGTACAAGCAACTATATTAATGTAGACAATATTTTAGTTTAATTTAATGACTTGTAGTTGTATAATGTAACTTTTTTAGTATATTGTTACTAATGCAGTTGTGCAACTGAAAACAAAATTTGAATATAAGTACCAAGTATATATTTAGTTTATAATTCCTTTATTTGTTATTGATGAAAAATTATATTAAGAATATATATAACATAGTTTCACATGCTTTACCCATGCAGGGTTCTTCACCTTCAAATTTACATTTATTTGTACCAAGTGCCAACATGTTTCATTCACACCTAGAGCATGCACAATGAAAGGATTAAAGATAAGTAAATTTATAATGATAATAAATAGAAAAAAGTTTAATTTTTTCCTCTTTTTTTTTTGAAATTTTAAAATTTATAATTATTTCACCTTTTCCCCCTATTTTCTTAGTACCATATTAAAAAGGTTAAACCTCTATTTTGGTCCCTGAACTATTGTACGGACCCCCGATCTGGTCCCTGAACTAAAGAAATCCCTAATTTGGTCATTGAACTATTGTACGGACCCTGAGTTGGTCCCTAAATTATTGTACAGACTCCTAAGTTAGTCCCTAAACTATTATACGGATGCCCAATTTGGTCCTTACTGTTTACCAATTTAACCCCAACTTGGTCATTCTGTTAAATAATAGCTCAGGGACCAAATTGGGGTGAAATTGTAAACAGTAAAGACCAAATTGGGGGTCCGTACAATAGTTCAAAGACCAACTTAGGCTAAATTATAAACAGTGGGGATCAAATCGGGGGTCTATACAATAGTTTAAGGACCAAATTAGGGATTTCTTTAGTTCAAGGACCAAATTGAAGATCTGTACAATAGTTTAGGGACCAAAATGAGAATTTTACCTATTAAAAACTTAAAAAAAAAAACCACCTAAGCAGCCTAGGCAGCACCTATGCACTCTAGGCCCTAAGCTATGGGCAACCACCCACCATCACCTAGCGCTTTTGGTAACCTTGATTATTTCCTTTTGTGGTTTTTATTTAAACTCTTCATATTTTAAGTCTTCAAAGTGTGAATTTGTGATAAAATCAATTCACAAGTTTTAGGTTATCATCTAATTCATCATTTTTATGGGTTGTTTAATTTGTGAATATATCTTCAGAAAGGGAAAAAATCAGGGGAATCTAGAAGGGTTCCTACGTTCCAAGAAAAAAAAGAAAGGAAATGTTTACCTATCTAATAAAGGCTAAAGTCAATTACAAGTATTTTTTTTTACTGTTCTTCAAGATGCTAAATATTAGTGCTATATAATTTAGCTTTTTAAATCCCAATGGAAGCATGTGTGTTTTTCTATCTAGGAATACAGCAATGTGTATTTGAACATTTGTTGTTTGATGGCTATCGTGTGTTCTCCGTCATGCTTCTTTGGTTCCTCCTGAGTTTCTTTTCCTTTATTTCTTTTCCTTTATCTGGTGACAATGTAAAAATGAGGTTTTAAGTGAAATTCTCATAGAAATTGATATGTTCCATGAATTATTTTTATAGCCGGAAAATAACTACACCACAGAGAGTCATCCCAAGGGCCAGAGGAGATAGAGAAGGAGGTAAGAGAGAGGAGGTCAAGAAAGTGCAAAATCTGGCAAGATTCCAGTGAGATGGCCAGAAAACCTGAGCTATCATTTGGCCAGGAAAAACCTATAATTTTATATTTCATTTATTTCTGTGGCAGCTGATTTTTTCTTTGCATTGCTTTAATGACAGCATTCTTCTTACCTGGCTAAGCATTGCATTTTGATAGAAAATTACTTTTGTTATATGCAAATTTGTTCATTGTAGGTTTTTATTGTTTTTGCTACAAATAATTGTGAAGTTTGTATTTTGTGGCTATTTTTAATGATATATGATTGTGCTTGCAAGTATTTATATCTGGGTAAATGCATATTTGATGTTGGATGGGAATTTTTTTTTTTTTTTTCATTTTACTA